TTTTGTTCTTTATGCTGAGGATGCAAATGTAAGATGATGTTAAATCTACAGCAATGAGTGTAACTGGGGAGGAAATACTATTTCAAACATTGATATCGTAAGAGAAGTACACCTGCATCACTTGTGATCGATTGTAAATGACATCAGAGAGACTCCAACATCAATGTTGTGGTTATGAGTGCGTAATCCTACCTTTCAACTAACCTGATCCTATTTCAGTATCGCTTTTCTAAAACAATGGTGGATTAAAACGATCTGTGATTGTCTGTTTCAACTACGCTAGAATCTTATCTTATATAGCTGATGCACAAAGTCTAACATCAACATTTTCCACCACGTAAGCGAAACTTAAGTCTGTCATTTCCTTTTACTCTCACCAGCGAGGTTTCACAGCCTTAGAGCAGAACAGATGGCATGTTTTCCTGGCATTAAAAACAGCATTACTTCAAAAATGAGAGAGAGAGAGACTGGAACAAGGAAATCTGTGAAGACATTACACCTTTAGGGAAATTTCTGCCTGAGGAATGACAACTAAACTTGGTTGGTAGTTACGCTTCGAAGCTCATTCTGTATATCATGAAGTCAGTAGTGTGATGACTGATAATACAAGTTCTGTTATAAATTTGACTATGCTGTATAACGCTTCCATTACTAATGAATAGTAAGAATCACGGTTTCAACCAGTTAATTTAAACTACCGCTCTCTAATGTTGAAGCCGTTACCAAAAGTAGTTTCACAAAGCTGATTTTCTTTGTACTTACTGTACGGATTTCTTTGGAATGATAAACAGCTTATTATTATTATTATTATTGTTCCCTTGGGTTCCTAGTGCAACATAGGGCTTCAACTACACGTCTCCACTTGCTTCTGTCTTCTGCTGTACTTTTCACCTGAACCCATGTTAGTCCATACTGTTTCAACTCTTCTTCACACGATCTCCTCCATGTCACACTTGGACGTCCCATTCGCCGCTTCCCTTTCGGGTTCCACTCGAGCACTGGCCTGACAAGCGATGTCACCCAGCTGTCTCCTCAGCGAGTGTCCAATACATCTTCATTTTCTCCTGCATATTTGTTGAGCGATTGGTTCTTGTTTTGTTCGTTCCCATAGTTTCTTGTTGGTGATTCTTTCCGGCGGCCATCTGATCTTCAGTAAACAGCGAAGACAGTTGTTGATAAAGGTGTGCAACAGGCTGTTGGAAATATTCGTTGTGACACACTGGCCAAGTTTCTGATCCGTATAGAAGAACTGACTGACTTGACGTTTGTATTGAAAATCCAAATTCCGCTGTTGAGTGTTGCTGAGTGATGAAGATTTCCAGATTGGTTTCAGGTTGATGAATGTGTTTCTCGCCTTCCCGATTCTCGATTTGACATCCTCATTCGTTCCTCCTGTAGTTGAGACAATTCTCCCTAGATCAGTGAAGTGGATGAAGTAACCTCTTTCAAATCCCTCCCGTTGATGTTGATTGGCGGTGGATGTTGCTGCTGTTGTTGTTGGTTGGTTGGTTATTTTCAAAACCTCTGTCTTGTCTTTGTTCACCTGGAGTCCTGTGTTTGCTGCTTCTTCGACCCGTTTATCGGTCGGCAAGAGAAGAAAGTAGCAGAAATGTAAAACATAGATATTAGGCGAAAAGAATAGTAATATCGAAGAACAATATAGTTTTATTGGGTATTATAAGTCACAAGGAGTGGATGCATCTGCGCCAGCCATTGAGAATGATCACTTTGAGCCATATCACCAATTGTCTCCAGCCATTGATGTTTACCGTCCCGAGGACCCCAACCAGGAAATCTACACCTTCCTACGTGGCTGGCCAGCTCAAACTAACTGTTGTGGATTTCATTGACTGACTCCATGTTTTGGTTTGATCACCACTAGCTGTTTTCCAACCTGATCCATTTTATGTCAGCTAACAGTGCCAATCGAGGAAGGCGATGGCTAGGCATACGTAACACATGTCCTAACCATCTCAGTCGATGCAACTTCACAGCCTCGTCGATTGATTTCCCCTCCTTACCTAATGGTCGACCGACGCCTAACTTCAATATTGCTCACCCTATTATACCACTTCACACGGGAGATAGAACGCAGGCACCTATGATCAAAGACAGCTAGCCAGTTTTTTCATGTCCTTCACTCTCAATGGCCAGGTCTCACAGCCATAAAGGAGGACGGAGTGGACTGCTGAGCAGTACACCCGCCCTTTGGTCGATAGCCAGTCAGATATTATGTCTACACCAGAGACTGCGTAAACTGGCATATGCGAAACTAGCCTTCTGTATCCGTGCTGAGATTACGTCAGCGATCAACCCGTTGGCGTTGGCTGATGCAACTTCCCAAATAGGTGAAGTGGTCAACACACTCTACCACTTCACTCCCTATTTCTAAGCCAGGAGTCAGTGTAGTCCAGTCCAGTTCTGTAGAATCATCTTACATTTGGCGGGAGCGAATCGCATGCCAAACATTCGCAGATTCCAGCTTAAGGTGCTCAGAAGACTCTGCATTTTGTCAGCGTCTTCACCTAGGATGGAGGACTATATCATCTGCATATTCTAAGTCAACGAGATTATTCCCTGGTAACAACAAGTCAATCCCTGAGTAGCTGAAGTCACTTAGAGTTAAGTCCATTAGAACATCTATGATGAAATTGAATAGAAATGGAGATAGTGGACATCCCTGACGGACACCACTAGTTGTCACCAGTTCAGATGACAACTCGCCGTAAGCTCTCACCTGGCTGCATGAATTCGAGTAGAGTGCCTTGGTCAGTGCAATGTATTTTCTTGGCATTCCCTCCACAGCCAAGCATCGCCAGAGTACCTCTCGGTCGACAGAATCGAATGACTCCTTTAAGTCAAGAAATATAACGATTGTTGGACGCCAACGGTAAGTACGCCCATGTTCCAGAATCTGTCGAAGGGTGAAGATATGATCAATACACCCTCTTTCTGGTCTAAAGCCTGCCCGCCTGGTTCTCTCATGTTTGTTCCTCCCATGGCCTACTTAGTCTACGCAATATTATTGAGCCTAGAACTTTAGATACCATATTAGTCAAGCTAATCCCTCTGTGATTATCACAGGAAGACTTGTCTCCCTTCTTGTATATCGGGATAATCAATGACTTAAACCAACCCGACGGGACTTCCTCTGATTCCCAGACGCTGCCTAGTACCTTGGTTAACGTAGACAGATTTCGTCACCTACTGATATCAGTTACTGTGAGAATCATTGAAAACCACCACCACCAGGGTGTGCTGGACAGCTGTTTCGTCCCAGTATTTGCAACACGTCTCAAGTGCACTCATGACGACCCTCTCCCACCAGAGATTGAACCCAAAACCTTCAGAATAACTATTCAGCCAGGTACTGGCTAGGAGGTTGGAATTCAATGAATGACCCATGAATTCCAACTTCTGTCGCAACACTGTCTCCTCCTTTGAGGAATTCTTGATCAAAAGTCAAAAACAAAAGATAACAGTGTAAGCGCAAAGACAATAATCTCAACCAATACATAGTGTATGTTTTTGATGTGGTTGTGTTCTCTGAGCTGGATAGTTAATTTGCGAAGCTTTCATCACCCTACTGGGTGACATCTTCAGCGCATACTTCAATTTGAAGTGAGCTTTTAGATTTCTCCACGAGTTTATTAATCATCTCTGCTGGTGGGTGACCTTGGACGTGATTGGTTGTTTTTGTGTGTTTTCACACCCTCTAGGCTACTTGTATTGTAACTGATTGTTTCTTTGACTTGAACTTTGACCCTTTGTGTGTGAGGTTTCTTTCTTATCGGTTGATAAATTTTGTCTATTTCGATGTGTCTATTGATTGATGATTCACTGGAATGCCAAGCTTCTAAAAATTCTCTAGCATTCTTGTTGTTTCCTCTGTCTAATATTTGAACGTTGTCCCAGTCGAATTGATGCCCGTGGTTGTCTGTATGTAGTGATATGAGGGAGTGGATATCATGTCTTTTGACAGCTAGCTTATGTTCATGGATACGAAGACGAAGGGGACGTCCACTTTGGCCAATGTAGTGTTTTTCGCAGTTGTTACAATTTATTTTGTAGATGATGTTGGTTTTATCTTCCTTCGTTGTTGAGTCTTTTGGTTGACATGGAGCCAGCTGAGTGAAGTGATTTTGTTGGTTTGTGTGCGACATCAATTCCTAAAGGTTTGACGAGTCTTGCAGTGATTTCTGATATATCCTTTATATATGGCAGGGCGACTTTCTTTGTGCTTTCCTTGGGGGCTTTTGGTTTGATAGGTTGGCTTGGGGGTATATGTCTTTTGATGAAATTTCGTGGATATCCATTCTTTTAGAAGACGTCCATGAGATATTTCAGTTCTATGTCAACCAAAAGACTCAACAGCGAAAGAATATAAAACCAACATCATCTACAAGATAAAATGTCACAACTGAGAAAAACACTACATTGGTCAAAGTGGACGTCCCCTTCGTCTTCGTATCCACTAGCATAAGCTAGCCGTCAAAATACATGACATCCACTCCCTCATATCACTACATACAGACAACCACGGACATCAATTCTATTGAAACAATGTTCAAATATTAGACAGAGGAAACAACAAGAATGCTAGAGAAATTTCAGAAGCTTGGCATTCTAGTGAATCGTCAATCAACAGACACATTGAGATAGACAAAATTTATCAACCGATAAGAAAAAAACCTCACACACAAAGGGTCAAAGTTCAAGTCAAAGAAACAATGAGTGACAATACAACTTCTGTCGCAACTGTCTCCTCCTTTGAGGAATTTTTGATCAAAAGTCAAAAACAAAAGATAACAGTGTAAGCGCAAAGACAATAATCTCAACCAATACATAGTGTATGTATGCATAATAAATTTCTGCAACAAAAGTGATACGAATCACTGTAAAACAGAAAAGAAAAAAAAAAGCTACAACTTTATACAGAAATGAAACTGAAATCGATAAATGAGCACTGAGACACGCACACACACAAATAGAGATGAATAACAAAACCAAAAAACAAGAACCAAAGTAGTGTTTATATTTTGTACAGGCAACAAAAAAATAGGAAACGAAATTGAAAATAAACTCGACTATACTACTTAAAACAGTGTGCCACAGAAATGAAAAAAAAAGAATTTCAAAACAATCCTCCCTCCCTATTTATAATTCATTCACATTGAGTGATGATAATATCAAAATATATATATATATATATAGCATAAGGACAGATCTCTCTACACACACAACAACAAATGCATTTGAAGGAAATAACTTAAAAAAAACACATTGAAGAACTCTTACACACTAACACACACACACAAACACAGATACTCAACGGAAAGTGAAAGATAGAGACACAAATAAATAAAAGTGGATAGAATTGTGTTACACTCCTTTTCATCAGAAGCTTCCCTTTGAATGCCGAAAAAAAACATAACTGATTGATAAAGTAAGTATTACAAGACTCTCTCTCTTACTTAACAAGAATTATAGATATAGGAAACACACACAAAAAAATAAAGGAGCAACAGAAAGACAGACATTCATTGTGAAAACAAAATGAACAAGTAATAAGGGTATGTGCGTCTGAGTGTAGAGAATAATAAATATACTGGTAACTAAAAAATACCACACAGCATATGTATGCATGCACGAAAGACATAACAAAACTCAACTGCATATAGGAGGAGTAGCAGTAGTAGTAGTGTACACAGTAAATGACAGAGAGAGAGAGTTCAACCCTGCCTGTTACGGTAGCGCATTCCCTTCTAGAAGGATTCCAGAAGTACTCTACTGACATCAGTAATTGCTTCACGACTACAAACACACACACAGAAAGACAAGAAGTACTACATTCTTTGGACAAAAAGACAAATAAAACTGAGAATAAGACTACAAATTAAAGTAACAAACAAATGAAATAATCAATCGACCAACTATCGCACCTATACGAGGTACACAGACAACACAGGTAACAAGAGGCAGAAGAAGAAAAGGCATTTATCATACCGAAAGAATTGATGAATTCATCAGAAAAGCTGTGCACAGTTAACACATTGTGTAGTACATGAGGTATATATATAGTATTGCACAGAATTGAGAAAAAGATGGTGCTTAGTCAATATAAGCAATGCAACTGAAGAGTCATACACACACGTGAAGACAAATGTTTATCTCTCACTGAAAAACCGGCTTTATACAGTCAACTGATTTAACATTTATGCATATATATATATAAATCTATCTATCCTTTGGTAAGGTGATTACTGAAGAGAAGAGAGACTATGACTATTTACAAGTTCATTTCGATTCGATTCAATTCACAATTGACTTCAGTTGTTTATCGGGGATGATTGCTCCACCGGCAGGACACATATACCAACCCAGCCTTCATGTGCAATTAACGGTGGTGCAAAAGACCATTGCCAATCAGCGAAAGGATTCGAGGAGGATGAGGAGGAGGAAGTAGTACCACCACCGCCACCAGAACCACAGATGCCGGCAGTAGCAGTAGCAGCAGCAGAAGTGGATGGGATAGGCAGTTTAGGATTATTTGGCCTATATTTTGATTTCTCCGACATGATATTCATCTAAATTAAGAAAATGTGAACAAATCAAATAAATCATTAGAAGATTGAAATTGAGGAAACCGATATTATTACTATTAAAAACAAAAAAATGCAAACCTCACGCATTAAGAGCATTAACAGATGCACTATACACGAATAATTATTATCATTATTGTTCCTTTGGGTTCCTAGTGGAACATAGGGCTTCAACTGCACATCTCCACTTGCTGCTTCTGTCTTCTGCTGTACTTTTCACCTGCATCCATGTTAGTCCATACTGTTTCAACTCCTCTTCACACGATCTCCTCCATGTCACCCTTGCACGTCCTACTCGCCGCTTCCCTTTCGGGCTCCACTCGAGCACGCGATGTCACCCAGCGGCCTCCTCAGCGAGTGTCCAATCCATCTCCACTTTATCCTGTATATTTGTTGGCCGATTAGTTCCTGTTTTGTTTGTTCCCATAGTTTCTTGTTGGTGATTCTTTCCGGCCATCTGATCTTGAGTATACAGCGACGAAGACAGTTGTTGATAAAGGTGTGCAACAGGCTGTTGGAAATATTCTTTGTGACACACTGGCCGAGTTTCTGATCCGTATAGAAGAACTGACTTGACGTTTGTATTGAAAATCCGAATTTTGTTGTTGATGCTTGTAACAACAGAAGATAAGGGCCAGGCAACAGAACGTTTATTACGGAAAATCAACACATATTTATAGATTTTGATGTACATTATTGTAGGTTAATGTTAGTAGAAAATACAGTCTGTTGATTGGTTGTTTCTCACACAAAGTTAACCTTGCATCTCTTGTGGCTGTGTCAGTTCTGTATCCGCCTGTCCATCTTGGCCCTGACCTCAATTACTGTCAACCAATTTGCCTAGCAACCATCTCTCACCACATGCTGAGTGACGAAGATTTCCAGATTGGTTTCAGGTTGATGAATGTGTTTCTCGCCTTCCCGATTCTCGATTTGACATCCTCGTCCGTTCCTCTTGTAGTTGAGACAATGCTCCCTAGATAAGTGAATGAAGTAACCTCTTTCAAATCCCTCCCGTTGATGGTGATTGGCACTGGATGTTGCTGCAGTTGTTGTTGTTGTTGGTTGGTTATTTTCATAACCTCCGTCTTGTCTATGTTCACCTGGAGTCCTGTCTTCGCTCCTGCTTCTTCGACCAGTTTGTCGGTTTTCGCTTGCAAGTCTTCGATTTTGTGTGACACCAAACATAAGTCATCTGCGAAATCCAGGTCTTCTAGGTTCTTTACGTCGGTCCAGGATATCCCTGTCTTCTCGTTTCCCACTGTCTGACGCATAATCCAGTCCACCACAATTAGGAATATCATTGGTGATAATAAGCACCCTTGTCTGACTCCTGTGTTTACTCCAAACGCCTCGCTGAGTTTTCCGTTGTGAATCACTTGACATGTGCCGTTGTCGTACACGAATAATAAAACAACAATAATATGAGAAAAACAGGGATAGAGTGAATAAGGGAGCTCGCCAAAAAAGCAAGCAAGCAAATTTATCAAGATCATTTATCAGCATTCATTAATTCATGTTACTTTTAGAAGAGGAAGAAAGGAGGAAATTTAAGCGTGTTCACGGTTGATTGCGATTCTTGGCCACATGTGAGATAACGTCTCGAGCCACCGATTTGAATCACCTCCTGAATTCCACCCAGGGAGCTGTGATGTGCCGACGGATCCTAACCTAACACAGATATCCTTTCTCCCACGGCGCCACATCATAGGCTGACTACCTCTCTCTACATTTTCCATTCAATTCCAGTGCTAGAGAACAGAAATCTGTATGGGAGCCTCTAGGATGAATTTCACAGCACATGTCCAAGCTACCTAAGCCGATGTTTCAAGATGACCATGCTCAAAGAATGGTGTCCAAACACAAGCTGCGAGACCTCGAAATTATATATCTATTATATCTAGTTGAAACCAACTGGAAACGAGTTCAAAATCATTCAAGCAGCCTAACCAATAGGTGATCTAGAATTTATTTCGATGATTAGTGAGGTAAACATGGAGACATGGAATGTCCACACGATGTTCGAAGATGAGGAAACTGCCTAGACTGAAAGGGGAGTGAGACGATATGGCTTGCAAGAGCTAGAAACTGTGAAAGTGGGTGGAATGTATGTAAACTAACCAAATTGTCAACTGGAGAGTCGGTAATCTACTGCGGTCAACCAGACGACATCCACTAGAACACTGAGGGAGTAGCGGTTGTGATGTCACCAACAGCAGCCAAAGCTCTGATGCGGTGGGGAACAATCTCCTCCAGGATTATCGCTTTTCTTTCTTTCTCCCTTTTCTTTATCTCCTCTCTTTATTGTGTACACTGAACGACGCCTCGGTGTGACCACATATGGTCCCTCCCACTTTGGGAGAGGCTTTCCTGATCCTGGTCCACCTCCGGTAGTATAACTTTGTTCTCTACATTTCACCTGGTCACTTACTTCAAACAGCTTCCAAGCTTCGATTTGTCTCTTACCAGCTTTCTCAATGTCTGCCTTTTGCTTTTCTTGTATATTCTGAATAGTTTGCTTCCGCTCACTTGCCCATCTCTTACTGTTCCAATGTTGTTGTTGCTGTGGCCAAATCTTATAGTGCGCCAGCAAGCGTGGTTTCCCCCCATGCATCAGCTGGGAAGGTGATTCTTTTGTTGTCCCCTATATTGTGGCACGATGTGCCGGTAATGCCATCGGTAGGTCAGTTTCCCAGTTGTCTGTCTTAGTAGCTAGCCACTCCTCGAGTGTACGACTATTCCTTTCTGTTAGGCCGTTTGTCTGAGAATGATATGGCGTCGCTCTAATTCTTTTAATACTCGATGCCTCTAGACGAGTCATGACCTTCTCACCCGCAAAACAGGGACCGTTATCAGTCAATATCGACTTTGGTACACCATGATCCACCACAATATGTCGAATTACTGCCTCGATTGCGGTCTTGGTGAGCTGGTCTGGAACCGCTACGACATTTACACACCGCTTGGCGTGTTTCGTCATCACCAAAACGTATTGATTTCCACTGGATGTTTGAGGAAAAGGACCCATTATGTCCATTGACCACAAGTCACCCACTGATGTTATAGGAATCGTTTGTAGCGGTGGTCGAATGTACTGATCACCCTTCATCAATTGGCATTGCGGGCAAGCGAGTACATAGTTTGCAACATTGCTTCTAATATTTGGTCAGTACGCACTTTGGGCTCACTAGATCGTAAGTTCGTGCAACGCCTGTATGGGCTAGTTGGTGGCATTCTTGAATTACCTCATGACGAAGGCTCTTTGGCATCACCGTAACCCAGCTACCATCATTGTCTTGCCAAATTAGGACGCGGAAGCGTTTAGTTTGAGTCTATGTTTGTGATGCAGTAGTTTCTTTGACTCTGTATTCTCCGCTGATGTCTCGATTTCTTTGCCTTCACTTATCATCTAGATGACTGTCTTGAGAGTAGGATTCGACTTCTGACGGCGAACAAGTTGTAAGGGATCTCGGTCCAAAGCGTTTACTGCATATGCAACCTCTGGTAGTTCGGTCTCATTTTCTGATCTCGACAAGTAGTCAGCTATTACATTTTCTTTTCCTGGAATATGTTCAATCGTGAAATCATACTCTTGTAGGCGTAACATCCATCGTGACAACTTCACTCGTGGGTCCCTTGCTGTTTTCAACCACTGCAGAGGTTTGTGGTCGGTCTCAATGTGGAATCGGTAGCCAATCAGTTACGGTCTCCATTTTGACAAACCGAATGTAGAATGCCGCTCTTCCCAAAAACTGTCTCAGCTTTCGTTTCTAATTTGGTATTTCACTGGTTTTGACAGTAAGGATTTTCTCCGGTAATGGTGGTATTTCTCCATTTCCCACTCTATAACCTAGGAGGAAAACACTGTTTTTGCCCATTTGGGACTTGTTCTTATCAATACGCAGTCCAAATTCATCAATTCTCTTTCAGATGGCTTCGATGTAGTCTGTATGATCGCTTTCTGTCTCACCATACACAACCAAGTCGTCTCCATATACTTCGATGTACTTCAGACCCTTCTTCAGTAATAGGGTCATTAATCTACTGAACGTAAATGGGGAATATACCAATTCAAATGGTATTCGTTTGAACTGGTGTTGTTTCTGTCCAACTGTGCACGCTGTTTTACTTCGGTGAGGCTATTCATCCATGTTTTCCGTTAGCTTTCTTTACCAAAAGGACTGGCGAACCTTACGGGTTGTCGGATTCTTCGATTATTCCATCACTTAGCGTTTCTTCGAATTGTTGGCTAACTTTCACTTCTAGGTGTAAAGAAACTCGTTCTGCCGAGAAGGCTGTCTTCACCGGATCCTCCAGTGGGATGTCATGCTTTTTTTTCCTTCACGTTCCCCAGTGGAATATACGGCTTCAACCTAGTGGTTTGAAGTTTCTGTAGCTGTGTTCATTTTACAGGATGGGGTTGTTAGCTTCATGCCTAACCTTTCCTCTTCACCAGCATTATTTCTGGCTTAGCGAGGTAAAGGAGTGCGTCGGCCGGGGATCGAACCCCATGTCATGCTTTACCTTATCACAATGTCCGTAGGGTTCTCCATCTCCAGTGGATAAGCCGGCATATTTACCCATCAACGTGGTTAGACTTGGTGCTTCTTTCAGAACAATCGTTGTGATTTCTACCTCAGCGAATTCACTGTTCTCATGTATCGCAAACTGCCCATGGTTTGTGACCACTCTCCTATTCTTCGTATCGACTACGGCGCCTACTTCTCTAAGAAAATCTGCTCCCGAAATTGTTCACCTAATATCTGACGTTACAATGAACGGATATCGTATTTTTCTTGCTTCGATCTGTACAATGCAGTTTGAAACACCAAGAATCTGTAAAGAATGCCCCGCTACCGCCTGAACTGATAATGTGTATTCCCTTATTTGCTTACACTGTCCACTATCTAGCTACGAAACCGCTGCCCCTGTGTCGATCAAACAAACTAGTTCTCTTCCATTAACCCGTAATCTTCCGTACACGGCACCTCTTTCGACTAATCCCACAACGCCCAAAAGCAAGCGAGGAAAAGAAGGAGGACGATATCGTTTAAAGCTTTTTTGCCTTCGTTTCGGGCGATTTCGCTGCCAGTGACCGGTTCCTCCGCAAGCTAAACATCTGTTGTAGTGTCTTTCTCGTATCTGCATAGCCGCCACCTGCTGTTTCAACTCCTCAATCTTCCTGGATTCTTGGCACTCCGTTATCACTGGAGCAACACGCGAAGTCATCAGTTGCCTTGTCACCTTTGCCATTTCGTGAACATCAATCCATTAGGCTGCGTTAACTAGCTGGAACTGATGAGCGATATCCTTAGGAACGCGTCCTGTGAACTGTGAGGCTAGCAACTGCTCTTGCGCGTCGCAAAAGATTTGCCATCGTTACTGAGAGAACCACCGGATCTCCGTCATGACCAAACAACAGATTTCGGAACTTCTGCAACGCCCTTGTCTAACTGTGAAGCTGTCGGACTCGTACACGAGCACCTCAACCACTTCCTTCCACGCCACCTTACCCCCAACTTCCCAGGCGTCGTCGTAGGCAGTCTTCGCACGGCTTCTCAGCAGAATCACTAAGACGACCACCTTCGCCCTCTGCACCTGTACTCCAACCAAGTCCGCGACAGTTTCGAAGTCCCTGAGGAATGCCCTCACATCTCCCTCCTCAAACACCTGCAACCACGGCACCTTCATCTCCGGTAGAAGCAGCGACACTAATTGTAAGGAAGGAAATACCAATGAGGCTCGAAGGAATGTGTATTAGGATAAACTCACTGTAGGTACATAAATTTGGTATACCATATATTCAGTGCTTTATTTGCACATCATTTGTAAATTGGTTGAATATCACCAGTTCTGTTCTTCGATTGCTTTTGTCCAAAACATTGTTACTTTTCTGAATTAGTTTACTGATATACTACTTATATGTGATTATAAGTAGCACCTACCACAATACAACCATTAATATGCACCACAATGCAACTTCTTTATTTCTTGGAGTTAAGAATGGAAAATATGGCCTCAACTTTAGAAGTTTCAGTAGCAGTGGAAAGGTTTATGTTTTTACCGAGGTGAGCTGCTGGCTTCACATCCAATCTTCTTTCTTTCTCAGGCTAGTAAACTAGACGAGGTTTAGGTGACCATTCTACCACCAATGAACGCACCCAGAATGTGGTGACTACAACTTTCAAATCATCACATGAATATATATTTTCATGTACTAAGAAGATATAAGTGGTACACACTATGTAGAAGTTTGTTTGAACTCAACTGCTCTGGACAGATCTTTCATGTATCACAAGTTGGATTACTAGCCCAACGCCCAACCCCCCTTTTTTCCCGGCCTTAGGAGTGGATAGTAACCTAGGAGATATTTTCAACTACAGACAGCAGGGATGAGGAGGTGAAAGGAGGGAATGAAAAAGCACAAAAGACCTTCAATAATCTGAAATCAGCATGAAAATCTGCTGCAATCAGCATTATGACCAACATCACATTATCAACAATGCAAAGTGAATGCTCCTCTATATGGTTCAGAGACTTAGAGCATCGCCAAAAGCATTTCCAACAGGTTTCAGACTTCAATGTCTTTCTTTGATCCATATTGAAAAGATCAGATGGTTGAACAGAAAAGACAAGCAACAACGAACTTTGGCAACGAACTAAGCAGGAACTTATTGGCTAACAAATATGCCGAAGGAAATGGAGTTGGAATAGACACACACGCTGAGAAGACCATTTATAATGACATCACGCGCCAGGTAAAAACCCTCAAACGGAACCTGAATGAGCAACGATGAGTTGAGCGTGGGTCCGAGGGTCACGTGGAGACCGTGTGAGGAAGAGATGAGAAGTTACGGGCTATCGTGGAGGAGCCAGTTAAAGAGGACTGCAGAGAACACAATGAAATGGAGATGTGATGTTGAAGTCATATTTTCCAAGGGAATAATAACAATAATAATTACGGTAAAAATAATAATAATAAGATAATAATAATAACAGAAATAGATCCTTACCTGATATCTTCCATGCCCAAGTGTCGAGCTACTATCAGTTGAATTAAATGAAGAAACTGACTCGATATCAGAATTATTAGAACATAATAAATTATCAGCAGCGCTAGAAAGAAATTTAGCCATTTCCGGAGTAATACGACTGGTACCGCTACGAGTGCGGGTGGTACATCCACTGTAGCTATCGAAACCAGTCGTTGTAGAAGTCCCAGGTTTATACAACATGTCAGATAATGTATTATGCTTTGAATGGAAATATTCACTTGGTAATTCATAGTCATGTTGATGCGTAGACGGTCTAAAACATTCAACTGTGCGTAGTTGTTTTGTCCCATCGTATCCACCTGCACACAATAAATATGAACGTGATCATAATAATAAAAAAAGACATAGAAAGAGGATTTCATAACTTTCAATGTTCAATATGGTCAATTTATCAATCACTAGAATGTTAAAGCAAAGCCGGAAAAAATAAAACAAGTTGAATTAATTTTACTGGAGCTTATCCTTAGATTCTCCTTAACTCAGTATTTTTATCGATAATAATAATAATAAAGATATTTAATCCATGTACCGCTGTAAACTTTGAAATTATTGGTGACTGATCTGAGGCTGTTGGACTCAAGGTACTCCTTCCTGGCTATAAGGCGATCATCGGTGAGTAGTGGACCAAATGGAGTACCCGTTGCTGCTCCATCTTTCTGTCGGTATATTTGACCACTGAATAAAAACTGGACATTTAATAATGTGTGCACATGAATAAAAGTTGTTTGATATTCTTAGTGCGTATATCAAATTTAGGATTGAACTCTCATATAGTCAGCACACAATTTGAGTGAAAGGGACATTGGTGAACACTGAAGAAGAGAATCAATAGAGTTTTGACAAGTATAAGAGTGAAAAAGAATGAGTAATGGTAGAAAGGAATATGAGACTGAATATTACAGAGACTGAATACATCTGCGTAAACCATTGACAACGATTTCGAGCCATATCACCTATTGTCTCCAGCCATTGATTCTTAGAGTCACGAGGGCGGGCCCCAACCCGGAAGTCTGCATCTCCCTACCTGACTCAGTTTAACTGTCAAGGATTTCATGGATTGATGCCACGTTTTTGTTTGACCATCACTTACTCTTTTCCAACCTGCACCTATATCAGCTAGTATGCCCATCGGGAGAGGCGATGGCTAGGCATGCGCAGCACGTGACCTAGCCATCTCAACCTCGTTGATTGATTTTCCCTCTTTGCCCAGCACTCTACGCCTAACGTCAACATTACTTACCTTATTATACCACCTAACGCGAGAAAGGGATCGTAGACATATATGATCAAAAACAGTCAACCTTTTCATGTCTTCAACTTGTATTGGCCATTTTTCAGAGCCATAGAGAAGGACGGAGCGAACTGCTGAGCAGTACACACATTCGTTGGTTGATAGCCGGAGATGGCGCAAGTTAGCGAATGCAGCTAGAGCTTTTTGGATCCGTGCTGAAATTTTGTCGCCAATCAGTCCGTTGGTGCTGATACAACTTCCCAAATAGGTGAAGTGGTCAACATGTTCTATCACTTCACTCCCTATCACTAAGCTAGGAGTCGACGTAGTCCAGTCCCGTAGCAGCATCTTACATTTTACAGGGGCGAATCGCATGCCAAACACGATGGTTGCTGCTCAGGGTGTTCAGAAGACTCTGCAAAACTCTGTCACCATCCTCTCCTAACAGGGCTATGTCATCTGCATATTTCAAGTCCATAAGACTATTCCCTGGTAACAAGTCGATTTCTTAGTCGTTAAGTTCAGTTAAGGATACTTCCATTAGCATATCTATGATGAAGTTAAACAGATATGGGGAACTTCATGCAATTCTTCCCATTAATAAACTTGAACAAAGCAAGAACAACAGTTGTACCAGGATAATATGAGCTCATCTTTTATTATTTCGAGGATTCTTCTCAACTGGTTACAACCTGAACGATGAAAAATATGAATTACATTAAAGACTTGAACATACTTTTCCACGATCACAAGGAGTAATTGGTAGGAAGTAAAAGTAACATTAGTCCGGAATGATTTAACTAATTAAGAGTTACAAACACTGACTATTTATAGAATAATTCAAATGAACTGTGATCAATATTTGACAGTTTATAAATATTTATAGAATAATTAGGCAATTAGGGGAAAGTGGACATCCCTAATGGACACCACTGGTTGTTATCAGTGGTGTAAACATCAGTAAACATATTTGGTTGTCTATTCTGTCGATTGCGTAACATTATTCACTACTTTTTGTACATTGATATTTCATATACACACTGTGATTTATTTTTGTTACTAACTGATAATAACCTCTGACCTTTGTTGTCAATAATATAAACCCCTAAATAAATGTACAGCTTTGAAGTGAAGTTACGAAAAGACATAGATCTCTTTCCTCACTTGTGTATTCATAATTACACATCACATTTTACAATTGTCAAATAATAATAATAATACAGAAAAACATAAGGAACCGGTAGATTACAAAGCATGAATACATCTTACTTACTTACTTACTTAACTTCGGCTATCTCCTACGGGAGGATGAGCCGGCTTCATGAACATCTCGAATCATTGCTGCCCAGGAGCGGCGATCTGATGCAACGTTTTGCGACAGGGTTATCCAATTAAGAAAGTTCATGAAGTTTCATGGGAATTTGGTACGAGTGATGTCCCCAGAATCGCTCGGCCTTTTGTTTGAGAGTGCAGCTCTAGCCTTTACACAACCAAGTGTAACCTACAAGGCAGTAGGAGTGGAGTAGGGAGTCCACTATTCATTGGCAGCCGGTAACCGGAGTTCGGTTCATACGCCTTTTTGAATGGGGCCAGACATCCAGGACATCCAACAAGCCCTTTGTCCATACGTCTGACGGTGAGCTCCAGTGAGCTTCATACGCCAGTCATTGGAGGTTTGGAATCAGGGTTTAGCCATCTCCCCTAGACTGTCATCCAATGGACAGTCAGCCCGGTGAAGAGCGCAGGGCATCCGCTTTCGCCCTCTCACTTTGGTGAAAAACACCTCCGCCACGTGAAGGCAGTGAGTAGGACTTCCTCAGGAGAGGCTATGTAGGACGCTTGGTCATATGGGAGCATTTCGAGAGGTGTGCGGAAGGGTGGCCAACCCGCAGTGCAAGGCACCCACCCCCGACCATCCTGAGGCTTTGGAGAGCCAATGAGTCATACCACACCAACGGTTTCTAGCCATTATGTCTTAATAACTCTAGGACACACCTACCGGGTAGTGGTGGTACGCCTCAAACGAGCATTTAAAAACTTAATGGAGTGATTCCAGGTTTTGATTTAACCAAATCTGACTCTTTTCCAACTCTTTCCAATCCTATGACTGCAACACCATTGGTCGATGCGAAAGGAGATAGCTTGGCGTGAGTAACACGTGTCCCAGTCACTTCAATCGACTAACTCACCCTCCTTACCCTACACTCTACGGAGCCTAGACTCATTATTACTTGCCAAATTATAGCACTTAGCATAGGAGATAGAACGCAAACACACCTGTGGTCAAAGATATCTAGCTACTTCAGGTCTTTCACTTTCAAAGGGCAACATTAAGTCATGAAGAAGGAGAGAGAATTTCTTAACTTAATGCCTTCTATATTGCGTAATTTGTTATCTAAAATTTACAATACTAATGACACCCATTGCGTCCCCGACATTTATTATTTGAACTTGGTGTCTGTAAAACATTCTTACCTCTTATTTCGCATTTGTCTTAGTATTTTTAAAAAATTATATATGGAGCATTGTGCGTCGGTGGCACAGCGATAGAGTGCTCGCCAACCACGCAGGTGGTCCGGGGTTCTATCCCCGGCCAACGCACTCCTTTACCTCGCTAAGCCAGTAGTACGACTGGTAAAAGGGGAAGGTTGGGCACGAGGCTAGCAACCCCATCCTGTAAAAATAATCACCACTGCTACTGAAACTTCAAGCCTCTAGCTTGAAGCCCTATGTTCCACTGGGAACGTAAAGGAATAAAAAAAAAATGCAGCATTTAGCTGGGGAGTTCTACCGAAATTTGATGAATTCACTAGATCCTGCTTTATCGATATTTGTTGTATGTTTTAAATTTATATCAGAAGACTAATGTTTTCAGGTAAAAAGTGGTTGAAAAAGACAAAAAAGGGGAAAAAGACTCCCAAACTAGGACGAAACAGCTGTCCAGTACTCCCAGGTTTTCTAATGGTTCTCTAACTGATGTCAGCAGCTCATGATGAAATCCTCCGAATAATCAAATAATATAGTGTTTAAGATCTATCCAGAAAGAACGCATGGAAGCATACACGTCATCGTGACTAATTTCAGGTCAAATCAGCCAGTTAATTATCGACTATCAATTTCGATTGTCACCAGAAAACATTCACCGAGTAGTCAAATCGTGGTTACACAAGGCATATATATATATATATTATATATATATGTAAACCAGTCTATTGAAAAAGGTATGATAGAACTCACCTATAGCATACAGGCAACCAGCAGTTACAGCTAGTCCAACACGTGAACGAGGAACTGACAGACATGATATTTCAGTCCATTGGCCATGAAAACCATTGGGATCAGGACCGGTTGTAGGATCGAACATTTCAACACTTTGAAGAAATGAAGAACCATCATAACCACCAGCGACAATAATACGGTCACGAAACACTGCTGCACCATGTCTACATCGACGGTGTAACATACTGGCAACTAAATACCAACTAGTATTATGATTCTGTTGAATGGTTGGTGTATGCGCAGCAACAGCAGTAGTAGTATCACATCGAGAAGACGGTAAACGTTTTACGGGGACACTTAAACTTTTGTTGTAACATTCAACTGTTGAGAAGACTGCTAACCCATTATGTCCACCAATGGCGTAAAGACGACCGTCGAGTGCAACAAGACCACCAGCAGATCTTGGTTCATTCATACTTGGTATTAACTGCCACCTAAACACAATTCACAAATAAAACAAAGTAAACTTTATCAGTCATCCTGGCATTTTTACAGGGCAAAAGAAGACTTTATAGTTCTCTAAATTATATCCGGTGTTTAGGTTCTCTTTCTTTTAAGCTCCTGTCTAGATACATAATCCACATATCCCATTACTTTTAAGACTACTCTGGCAATGTTTGCCAGTGAAAGGAGTGCCCAGAAAGTATACGAACACCAATCAAGGTACTCTCTACTCGAATTCACATAGTCGGGTAAGAACTTATGAAGGGTTGTCATGTGAAGTCATAACAACCAGTAGTAGTGTCAGAGTCAGGGATGGATCCCATTGTCCTTATTTCTTATTTAATTTCATCACAGATGCATTATTTGGAATTGACCCCAAACTGACTTTAGCGATTTAGGGATCAACTTGTTTGTTACCAGAGAAAAGTCTTGTTGACAGATTACATTGTCATCCTAGGTGAAGACGCTGTTAAAAAAAAAAACACAATCTTCCGAAAACCTTGAGCAAAAAAAGATACGCATTTTTCACGTGGTACTTCGTTGGACATTTCAGAAGCAAATTACACCTCTAAGTTCGTCTGACAGTGAACTATCTCAATCTGTGAATACATTGTACACCCTCAATAATTCGTTGACAGTTCGTATATGTTATACAACAGGTGCTTTAAGTGCATTGTAATACTATTTTGGCGAATATTTAAGTGAATACTAAAATTAACACTTGTTTATGGCTTCCATAACATTATTAACTCAATATAAACTAATAACGTCTGTCTCCAACGTGAACGTTGATTGGCTAACTGCATTAGGGTGTTTCTCGAAAATGAAATGCCTCACCGACTGAAAGTGACTACTTTTCAACGTTGGGACTTTGCAAAAGGTTTACCACCAGTTCAAGATGTTACACTCCATGTAGCACACAAATAAAAAAAGGAATCGAAAGAACTATATTGGTGGGAACGTACAGGAGAATGATTATATTTACACGAAGAAGCCTGTCTGTCTGTTTTCGACATAGAACTTTGCACATGTGTCCGGCAGTTCAAGTCGCCACACTCCCTCATTGTAAGCACACAAAGCAAGAGAAGAAAGTAGGAGAAATGCATAATATAGACAGTAAACAGAGGTGTGAGACAAAGAAATAGTAATAGCGAAGAACAATACAGTTTAATTGGAAATCATGAGTCACAAGGAGTGGATGCATCTGCACCAGCCACTGAGAACGATCACTTTGAGCCATGTCACCAATTGTTTCCAACCATTGGCTTTTACCGTCCCGAGGACCCCAACCAGGAAGTCTACACCTTCCTACGTGGCTGGCCAGCTCAAACTAACTGTTGTAGATTTCATTGACTGGTGCCATGTTCTGGTTTGACCGCCGCTAGCTCTTTTCCAGCCTGTTCCATTTTATGTCAGTTAACATTGCCCGTCGAGGAAGGCGATGTCTAGGCATACGTAACACATGGCCTAACCATCTCAGTCGATGTAATTTCACAGTCTCGTCGACTGATTTCCCCTCCTTACCTAGCACTCGACGCCTAACCTCAGTATTGCTCACGTTATTATACCACTTCACACGGGAGATAGAACGTAGACACCTATGATCAAAGACAGCTAGCCGGCCTTTTCATTTCCTTCACTCTCAATGGCCAAGTGTCACAGCCATAAAGGAGGACGAAGAGGAGTGATGAGCAGTACACACGCCCTTTGGTCGATAGTCGGATATCACGTCTACGCCACAGACTCCGTAGACTGGCATATGCGAAACTAGCCCTCTGTATCCGTGCTGAGATTTCGTCAGAGATCAACCCGTTGGAGTTGGCTGATGGTACTTCCTAAATAAGTGAAGCGGTCAACGTGCTCTACCACTTCACTTTCTATTTCTAATCTAGGGGTCGGTGTAGTCCAATCCTGCAACATCATCTTACATTTTACAGGGGTGAATCGCATACCAAACATACGAAGATTGCTGCTCAAGGTGTTCAGAAGTCTCTGCATTTTGTCAGCGTCCTCGCCTGGAAGGACGGAGAAGTATGAGGACTGAATGGATTTGGAAGGTTACAGTATGCGAATATATCTGCACCGCTGTTGGCTCTTAGCATCCATGGCATTCTAACCAGGCAGTTTGCACCACCACCTTGTGTGGCTCCTCAAACTAACTACCAAAGACTCCATGGACTGATTCTAGGTTTTGGTTTGACCGCCAGTAACTCTTCCCCAACTTCATCTCATTTCGGCTAAAATAGCCGATCAAGTGATGTGATGGCGTGGAATGTGCATCACGTGTCCTAGACATCTCAGTCTATGCAGCTTCACAACATAATCCATTGGCTTTTCCTCCTTACCTAACAATACACCTAACCTCACACACACATTGTACCACCTAACATGGGGAGATAGAACGCAAACACATGCGATCAAAGACAGCTGGTCTTTCCATATCTTCCAGTTTCAATGGACATGTCTGTCTCACAACCATATAGGAGGACAAAGTGAAGTGTTTAGCAGTACACATGTCCTTTGATCGGTGGTAGCCCGATATCATGTCTACAGCAGAGATCACGACGTAGGTTGGCAAGTGTCACACGACACTTTTGTATTCGTTCTGAGATTTCGTCACCAATCAGTAGTAGTCCATAAAGGCTGATGCGGTTTCCTAAATATAAGTGAAGTGGTCAACACGCTCTACCACTTCGCTCTTACCTATCTTTAAACTAGGATTCGGATCAAAAACAGATGAGTCCTGCAGCATGTCAAGCATTCAAAGATTTCTGCTCAAGGTTTTCGAGAAGTGATTATTATTAATGTCTACTTTCGTAACCAAAACAACAAAAAAAGAGAGAACAACTTACATATCTTTTTCTGGGTTATACATTTCACATGTACGTAACGAGGTCTGTCCATTATAACCACCACAGACATACAGATGTCCGTCAAGTGCAGCAGCTCCTGCAGCACTACGTCGACAAATCATTGGTGCTAAGGTTTTCCACTTTTTAGTTTTTGGATTATACACTTCTGTTGTATTTAGTCTTGAAGATCCATCGAAACCTCCGATAGCATATAATAGTCCTGAAAGTAAATAAAACAAAGAAAAATGAAACGAATGAACAAACAGGTTAAACTCAGATGATACACACCATTTTATACATATTTTTACATCCATTCAAGTTATCTTATGCATCGAAATATACACCACTGATTGATTGAAATTGGCATTATACCCCTCACATCAGCCGGTAGTGCTTACTGGCCAGCCAAATCGAAGTGATCTAACCTTCGGAAGGCCATTTCGCTCTCTCGGGGTTAGGCTCATCAGCGGTGTACCCCGTTTAACTCAGTTTAGGTAGCCTAAACACGGGTGGTTTGGACCGGTTCAGGGGCAGTCAGACTAGCCGAACATAAAAACCTAGCAAAATCTAGATTGGTTGACACGAATAAGATAAGAAAATCTAGAGAATAGTTCAGCTATAGCACTCACCACTTGCAGTTACACACAACCATACAATAGGATGGGATAGGATGAAAGTTTTAAAATCTAATGTAACAACAGGGTGGAGGGAGAGATTGATAACAGAAGCTTTGTTTATCGAATCAACTGCAAACACGTGTAATAGGAATGATTCAACACCTGTTCCAGATATCTGGAAAATTCTACTACCCCAATTACGACAAATAGGAGAGAACAAAGAAAACTATAAAACTCAAGTTTCGAAGTCGTGTAATTATAATTGATGAAATGATTATGAACAATAAAATTTTGTTCGAAACGTCATCCAGTAAATAATACTGTTTCACTGTGTGATACATCTAATAAACAAACTAATATGGAATAACTTACTACCACAGTGGCCAAGTTTTACACATATATATTAATTGGACCGGTTCAGTTTCCCCCAGCTGAGTCAAATCGGGTAAACCGCTGGTGAGCTCAGCTCCATCGAGTGAAACGGTCGTTCGCTGATTAGATCACTTAGATATATGGCTAACAAGTACTACTAGTTCATACGCATGGCATCCAACTACACCTCTCACAATCAATCAGTAGTGTACAGTTCTATGCAAATAGGCTTGCTTTCTTAACTACTATTTATAGATAGTATCAAGCGAACCACTTATTGTGATTTGAATAATGCTGGTTTCCAAAGGAAACTGTGGTGAAATAATCAACTCGGAATGTGTAAACTGCGAATTAATTAGACAAATTGTGAACTAATTGGTGGACGGTGACTAGCAGTGGAATCCAGGATGCGCATTTCGTCCTATTTGGGACTCGTCATCTGGATGTACCCGGCATTTTCCATTTCGGTCCAATCAATCGACGGGAAAATCTAAAATTCAATTAAATTGTGAACTAGTTTGCAAAGTGGGAATTTGATTCAGGTAATCATATCTTCTCGTACAGCTGCTGCACTGGTTAAAATGTCTCTAGTGTGAGAAAAACTATCTGTAAACCCAAAAAACAAACTTCAAGTTCACAGGAAAAATCACTGTGAAAATGAGTGAGTTTACTTCTGAAATAACTACGACTTTGTATGAACACCATTCAGTATTAACAACTCTTACTACAAACAGACGTTAATCCACACATACACACACACTACAAACTAAGCGATTAGATGTATAAGATATTTGCCAATTTTTGATTGTATATAATAGGCAAGATGTTCAAATCAAAGCAACTAGCTTTGTTGTTTGCTGTGGTACACACTCTGTAAAATGCTATGCACAAAAATATGCGTTCAAAAACTATACATTATTCCTATCAAAAGTTAAACAGAAATAGAGCAGAACAATAAAACAAGGCAATAATTGACAAACAGACAAAGAAATGAACCTATTTAATTCATCGTAGTCCACTTTAAGTGCGTCGGTGGCATAGCAGTTAGGATGCTCGCCAACCATGCACATGGTCCGGGGTTCGATCACCGGCCGACGCACTCCTTTACCTCGCTAAGCCAGAAATAATGCTTGTGAAGAGGAAAGGTTGGGCATGAGGTTAGCAACCCCATCCTGTAAAATAATAAACATTGCTACAGAAACTTCAAGCCACTAGCTTGAAGCCCTATGTTCCAGTGGGGAATGTGAAGGAAAAAATCCACTTTAAAGCCTAATATCATGTAGACCTTCGGGTCACTGACTCGTAACATGCTAACAACAATACTTAGGTTCAGTAAGCCAAAAAACTATGCACCTCATGCAATGACGTTATTTGCTGGATGATGGCTAGTAGTGGAATCTAGGATAGGCATTTCGTCCTGTTTGGGATTCATCATCTGGATTTGAGTGCAGTCTCCAGTGAGTGAGTGATGTCATTTTCAATGAGAAACGAACCCAGTACCCAGCGTTTCAAACTCAAAGCCTTATCTACTAAGCCACTTGACATGAAATGAGCATATATTGGATTCCAGTGTTAATCACTGTCTAATTATCTCTTAGAAGAGTCAAGCGAAAAATAAAGGGGGGTGGAGTGAAAAGATAAGTTAACAAACTAATTTTTCTTCACCTTGAGTTCTGCTCACTGTATTACATCATCACCCTCTCATCTGACCTCATATGCACCGAAATTTTAAAATTTTGATCTTCTCTTATCTAATTACGTAACTATTACTAATTGTCTTTTGTTACCACCCCAACAACAAAACTGTTAGTTAATTTTTTTTCAAGAAACTTCTCTCTAACAAGATATATATATATATGTCGTAACACTTTAGACACCCTGTAAATCGCAACGCCTTATTTTACTATGACGCTCTGACAATATGCTTGCTAATGGACAAAGGTTTGTTAAAATTGTACACTTTTTATTTTTATTTTATTAAAAGAATTCAGGTTGTACGCAGCTGATGAGAACCAACGAAATAAAACGGATCCAGATTATTCTGCGCGGCAATGTTTCTTCTTTCTTTGTTCAAATTTATAAAAGGGAATCATTGTATGAAATTCCTTTATTAACAAGTTGTTTCCCATAAAAATAAAACAATGAACAAGGATGAAAAATATTGATGTATCAGTGTCCTCTAAGCCAGGAGGTTTATTTGTAAAGCTTTCATTGTTATCTTTCTGGATAACACAGACTTCAAACATGCATAGTGCATGTGTCAACCATTTAACTATTATTAACTAACACGAATAATGACTAATAAATACTGCAAGAAACTCTCAATGAAATTCGGCAGTTGAATTTTGTTCCTATAAGAGATGCACATCTGCGTTGAAGATGAATGGCGACCAGAGAGAGAGAGGGAGAGGAGAGCTAAATATGCCACTTTCTTTTTGTTGTCTCACCATTCAATAGTATATGTGTATCGATGGTTCAGTGGTAGAACCCTTGCCAACGACGCATGTAGCCTGGGGTTCGATTCCCTACCAACTCACTCCTATAACTCGCCTAGTTTAGTTTACCAGACAACAGTAGGCCTGGAATACAGGGAGGGTTTGACATCAGGCTAGCAACACCATCAATACTGACACTTCATAGCCCAAACTTGGTACACGCCCTACACGCCCCACTCGGAACACAAAGGAATGAAAAACTATTCAATAAAGAAAATGCTAATCTAATGAATAATAAATAAAGCAGTTAAAATATAAAATTCAATTAGATGTACCATTCAATGCAACTACTCCAATACGACTACGTTTTGAGATCATACTCTCTGATAATTCCCAACGACCATATGAAGGATGATATGTTTCAACAACTCCGTGACATTCAAAATCTGCAGTTAACCCGCCAACGGCATAAATAACACCGAATACATCCTGACATTTTCGTGGTCGGCAAATAAAGTTTTTCGGTGTCTGTCCTGGCATTAGAAGCATATCACGTACTTCGTCTAAAATATCTCTGTAAGAAAAGTAAGTTATATATTTTTTTAAAGCCCATAAGAAATGTAATTTCTAATAATAATCAAGTGGAATATTTGCAAAATAGATAATGATAATTAAAGTGATAAAAATAAATTTGTTTACATTATTATTGTGAAAGGAGGCTGTAAAAAAAACTTTTACGTCACTTATATTAATATTACTGCAAGTAATATAATACGACACTGGTAAATATTTTGATCTATATGATCTACATGAGCCATTATGAAAGTTGAAAGAAAAATGAAATAACAATCTCACTGACTACTACTCTTCGCAATAAGTACCTGAATGAGTCAGTGCTTCTACATATTCCAAAGACTTGGTGCAACACCAAAAGCATTTTCAGCAGCCAGCTGAAAACTTCCATCTTCATTCAATAGTGGAGATCAAATAGTTACCCGGAAAGCGTAAGCAGCAACAAAGAACTCCCGCGACACAGTAGCCAACAACCTGTCGTCCAGAAGGAAATGTCGAAGGATTAGAAACACGCTGTGGAGACATTCAAGAGATATCACAAACCAGGTCGTCGAGTGGAAAGCGGGAAGTTAGGCGTCCGACGGTGATATGGAGACGGCCTTGTGAAGGAGTGAAAGTTGTTGGGCACAGCTGTGAGCGATGGCAGAGAATCGAGTATATTGGAGATGTGCTGCCGGGGTGTTGTACTACTCCACTCGGAATGAGTGCAGCTTCGGCTTTAGATCTTAGTGCGACACGGATCTCCTGTCAAAAGCCACTGGGATTCTGAGAATTTCTTGCAAATTTTTGACGCTCGTCAGTCCATCCCAGTGTACGGTGAGTATAACAAAATGTGCAAGGCTCTTAGGCATAGGATCAATGCTTGTCGGTCAGAACGTGCGTGTGAGATGGAACCAGTAGCTGTATTCAGCAATAGTCTGGAGATTGATATAAGGATAAAACGTGGGCACTGTGGTAGAGTATAATTCCATTATGGATAAAATTTTATTTTGATAAAGTCATACAGTGTTATACAGAAATTTTTACTGGTGACGTTTCAAGCAACAAATTTTGTTCCGTCAGTGTAGAGTAAAGCTACTATCGTACCTGTCTTTATGAAGGGCCTAAGTAACACGACTGACAGTTATCTATGTATTAGTCTGCTGCCAACCGTGCCTACAATATAGACCGCTGTCTTGTTCTGTAGACTGTTTCAAGCACGTCAGAAGTTGATTCGCGAAGAGCAGGCAGGGTTTCGTCCAGGTTGAGGATGTATTACAACATGTTCACCTTATGTCAGTTGCTAGACCACCATCGGACGTATAGTCATATTTCTTGATATTTGGACTCCCTTCGATTCGTTGGAAAGAACTGTTTTTTGAAAGAGATAGGTATTCTTAGGAAGCTTTTAACATCCTGAAAGCCATAGACAGAAGCACCCCAGACAAAGTGCGGACATATAACCAGCTATCACCTCAACCAACATTAGAGTGGGACAGGGTTGTTTAATCTCTCCATGCCTCTTTAACCTTGCTATCGATGATATTCTGGAGGCAGCTCTGAAGGATGTCCATGGTTGTTGTGTTGATTTGCTTCCAGAGAACACTGACTATGCGATAACATACAGATTGGCCAAATCACACTTAGTCAGTAGACGGTCAGTGTCTATAAGATGGCATGTGCAAAACTTGGAGCAGATAATACAAGAAGTGAACTCATCATGGGTCGAGAGGCCCTCGCTCGGAGAAATGAATGAGAACGGAAAATTATTCGCACACTTCTGCTCGTTCAACGATTTGGTAATCGGAGGGAGCGCGTACAAACACAAGGATATACACAAGGCCAGCAACATGGATTTCGCCTGACAGACACACTACAAACCAAATAGATTTCATATCAAACTGAAGGAAGTGGAGATGCAGCCTGATGAATACAAAGTTGAGAAGGGGAGCAGATGTGGACTTATAGCATCATCTAGTTCAAGGAACCTTCAAGGTGAGACCAAAATCTATGAAAACAAATGGAGACAGACCACTGTAATTCAAGTTCGAAATTCAGAAACTGAAGGACAAAACTACGAGGATACCTTCACTACGGATCAGATCAGAGTAGAGTCGGAGACACTATGTGGCATCACTGAGGAAACCTGTGTGGAAGAACATTGGAAGCATCTGTAAGCGATATTTAAGGAAACGTGTACAACTGCCCTAGGAGGAAGGAAGAGACAAGAAAAAGAATGGCTGTCAACGGATACCTGGGAGCTAATCGAGGAGAGAAGGATGGTGAAAGAGAAGATGACTCAATGCAAAGATGCACAACAGAAGGAGAAGCTGAGTTCAATGTACACTGCGCTGAATAAAGACAGAGGTGAAGAAGAGTGCTAGGAAAGAAAAACGACAATTCTACGACACGCCGGTCGGCGATTGAACCAGAACAGGCTGCAGGCAGGAGATATCAGGACAATATATCAGATAACCAAGTCTCTATCCGGGAAGAGATCAACCCAGATGACGAAACCAACAAAAGATGCTCAAGGGCACCTGATATATATATGTACATACATATATATATATTTATGATTGTACAACTTGAGAATGATATCGTCGAAAAGAGTAACTCTTTGCTGAACGCCTTTTCTTTTATATTTCTCAGATCAGCAAATAACAAAGCAGTATTAGAGATGAAGCACATTGGTAAATGTCCAATAAGATCTCTGAGCTTTTATCGCTAGAAAGTTTATTAAGGATGACGCGCGTGCCAAAAAATGTGAAGGGACTAATACATCTGATCGATTCCCATCCCGTATCTACACTACCAATTAACGCAAATCGATCGCGTAGCGAAATTTTGAAGTGCTCTTATCACAAGAGAAAATTATCTTATACAATAGCAGTTATGCTATACGAATCTATACAGTGGCAAATACCGCAAGCAAACGGATGGTAATATAGCTAAAAGTTATTTTAACGCGGCAACTCTTTCCCTACATAATTCGGTAAGTCCACAGTATATTTAAGTTTGTACCTAATATGTAGATACTGAATATGATTCCCAGGAAGATTCAGATGTTGTTCTCCATGCTGAACGCAGTAAATTCCCAGTGATTTCAGATTAATGAACGTCTCGGGACTCTAAGAATCAATGGCTGGAGACAATAGGTGACATGGCTCAAAATCGTTGTCAGTGGCTTACGCAGATGTATTCAGTCTCTGTAATATTCAGTCTCATATTCCTTTCTACCATTACTCATTCTGTTTCACTCTTATACTTGTCAAAACTCTATTGATTCTCTTCACTCATTTTCCTGTCTACCTTTGTGTGCTATTCGGAACGTGGCAACTGGAACTGCTGCACTTCGGTGCCAAGTTCTATGTTGAATCCAGACAGACAGAGAATGAACGTCATCCTCAGTTTTCCGATTTCGCCTTTGACGTCCTCATCCTTGCCGCTTTTCGTTGAAACAATGCTGCCTAGATAGGTGAAAGAGGTAACTTCCTTTAGATTTCTCCCGTTTATGCAGATTGGTGATTGCTGTTATTCGTATTTGGATATCTTTATCACTTCTGTTTTCTCGAAGTTCACCCAGAGTCCTTTCATCACTGCCTCTCTTGCCAACTTGTTGGTTACCGCCTGTAGATCTTGGAGTTTGTATGGCAACAGACATAAATTATCCGCGAAGTCCAAATCTCCTAGTCTTTTTGTCAGTTCAACGTATGCCCATCTTTTCGCTCCCCATGATCTGTTGTATGGTCCTGTCCACCACAGTCAGGAATATCATCGGTAGACAGTCTTGTGTAACCCCTATCTTTAATTCAACGGCTTCACTGACGTTTCTGTTGTGAATCACTTGGCATATGGCATTATCATATAACTGTTGAACACGGTTTGTAAAGGTTTGGGGGGACTCAGTAGTTTTGAAGCAGTTTCCAAATTAATTCACGGTTGAGGCTATCGAAGGACGTTTTAAAAGTCGATGAACTTCAGGTACAGACTTGACTGCCATTCTATGTTCTGTTAGACGGTGATGAATAGGGTTGCGATTTGATACGCTCATGATTTGATGATACCTTAGTAATAATAATAGACATTTAAAGATAGGTGGAGAAATAACCTATGGATTGTATTTATTTACATCTACAATACAACACTACGACTCCCAGAGTGACTTACCTACAACGTATATCTTGACGAATAAGTTCATGCCGAGAAATAACAGAGAAAATATAATTGACTGGAATAAGTGGGAATCTGATGCGTCTCAATAAACACGGAAGAAATTCAGTACGAGGTATTTGAGGCTTATTACTGAATACCTGAGGAGGAGAATTGAGATCCAATGAGTGATGTAAAGAAGGTAAAGATCCACTGGAGTATGATGTTCGACAGTCATCAGCATTAGAGCTAAATGGTGGTTTTTTTGAGTCTGGATTAGCAGCAGCATTACGATTATCAGAGAATTCAATCAAGTTAACAGATTCTGATGTGACAGAATTTGTATCAACACTGACTTTCGGTTTCATGTCGAATTCAACCCATGACATAACAATATGAAAAAGTCGTTCTTCGCTGCTGACACGCAGTTCATCTGAGTCCAATAATTCCAGTAATTCAGCTCCATCGAGATTGAAAAATGAACTTGTTCGGGCTACAGCTTCGAAGTTTTTATAAATATATGCTTCACAGGAAGATACTAGATCTGTACATAGGAAACTTTGAGCTAGACTTCTCATTGGCAGGACTATGTCAACAGTCAACCTATAAAAAAAAAGAATGAAATTACAGAAACCACAGTTGTAATATCCTCTGAATTTAAATTTACCACAAATTAGTCACTTTGTTGTGTATGACATTTGTGCTATATACCAAAGCATATATAAAGCGTAATGATGCATAGCACTACTCAAAATCCGGTACGCAAGGCACAGCTTGAAATTGCTAATTAAAACAACAACATGAAAAGAAGCAGTATTTTGGTCAGTTCATAAATTTGGGTAGGATTCGCCAGTTGAATGCTGTATAAACATTGCTATTTGTAAAAAAAATTTTAAGGTTAAACACATGAACATTGTTACAACAAATAAGAGTCAATTTCAACAGATCAACAGACCTATAAGTGGTGAGTGATAATTTGTTAACGTCATTATTAAGTGAATAATATTCATCAAAGCACAAATTAACACCAACTGGAGTTATTGTGGTAGAATTAATCGTTATAAGCATCTAGATTTGATAATATTGAGATACAAGGAAACTGCGTAAGAAATAGATAAATAAATTGAACATAAGTAAACCGTATAGGACTGAATAACAAGATTTTAACATGTCTCATGTAAACTCACAAGTTAGTCTGAACACACTTCACTAGGATTAATACTCAACTATGATTTTCACTCTGCACATATCGTAAGAAAACTAACAGTATGTCAGGTAAAATAATAATGGTAATAATGGAAAAAAATTATAAAGAGAAGAGGGAAGCGGGGAGAGTTGTAAAGGTAAAATAAAATTATGCTATCGAGGTAGATTCAAGCCAACTACTGTCTCCTTTTGTATACACATAGATCCGGCTTCTTTGATCTGATTGCGCCAACTTCAGCAAAACCAAGAGCTTTTTTATTACCTTGCTTATTAACAATTATAGAGCTTTTACCTAACGTTACCGTAGGATTACGGTCCAATAAATGTCGTGTGATTGGGCTCCTTGGGATGCCATCATGAGTACTAAAAAGCCATTTGGGGCAGTGTTCGACAACGCGAGTCGAAATACATCTTTTTGTACACCCAATGTGTTTACTTCCTGAAAAAACATTTAAACTGATATACACATTTTGATGAAATGAGGGTCGGTGTCTTATCTTTGCTTGTTGCTTGCACTATACCTGTTGTTGTTTGTGAGCAAAATATCAGCTGAATAATAGGTTCGTTTAACTGCTTTCTTCAAGAGACGTTTCATCAACTGAGTAACGTTATCTCCCTTGAAAGGTAACTTTATATTAAAGCCTCTTCTTAGAAACAGTCTCTGCTATTACTCTTCCTTTATTATCTTTTGCATACTTATTTATAAACCTTTCTGGATAATCATTTGTCACTAGTTTCTCCCTCAAGAATTTTTCCTCGTAGTCTAGTCTACTACTTGAAAATATCCTTCTCCCTCTATCGAATTATGTTATAACTAGACTCCTTTTGTACTGGACTGCAACGAAGCTATTGCAATGTACGAATTGTCCCGTCTAAGTTGGCTCACTATATATAGATCTCTCTACAGTTCCATGGGCCCATTTAAGCAGATTTACATCCAATAAATGTATGGTATCATTATCTTTATGTTCCGCTGTAAATTCCGTACTAGGAAGGCACGAATTAAATTCTTCTAACATTAACTCAGCTTCAACCTCAAAACTGAAAACTATATGCTGTCCATATACTGCAGGTATCTGTCAGCTTTTCCTATACAATCCGTTACCGCAGTATATTCTAAACTCGCCAGAAACATATCTGCAAAGAAGGGCCCTAATAGGCTTCCCACCGCTAAGCCCTCTGTTTGAAAATACAGCTCATTAAAGCCAATATAAAGCACTTCAGTAATGTTAAGGCAGTTTGAATATTTCAGGTATTTAAACAATATTCAGTGATGTTGAACAAATGAAATCTACAGCTGACCGCCTGTTTTGAACATAGAACTTTGCACAAATGTGCAGCAGTTTGAGTCACCACACTCCATGTAGCATACAAAGCAAGAGAAGACAGTAGAAAGAAATGCGAAACAGAGACAATAAACAGAGATATGAGGCGAAAAGAATAGTAATATCGAAGAACAATATAGTTTTATTGGGTATCATAAGTCACAAAGAGTGGATGCATCTGCGCCAGCCATTGAGAACGATCACTTTGAGCCATATCACCAATTGTCTGCAGCCATTGGTGTTTACCGTCTTGAGGACCCCGACCAGGAAGTCTACACCTTTCTACGTGGCTGGCTTAAACTAACTGTTGTGGATTTCACTGACTGATGAGGCCGTGTTTTGGTTTGACCACCACCAGCTCTTTCCCAACCTGACCCTATGTCAGCTAACATTGCCCGTTACAGCACGTGTAACGCTATTTATTGGAGGACTTCAATACAATATACAGAAAAGAAGATGCCATTAACTGAGACTAATAATAACATTCGTGAATTCTTTAAGGAACGTTTTGTTTTATTTTCCATTTCACATATGTTTACAGCAACACTATTTATAGGTATGGATAGAAGAATTTTAATGATTGGTGCAGTCGCGAGTAGTAATTTTAAAATCATTAAGTATAAACTATCATTAAAAGTATGGTACTAATACTAATGCTACTACTACCACTAGTAATAATAATTTGATCCGTTCTACTATGTATATCAACGATAAAAAGTACCCAAATTGTCTTTAAGGAAAACTTACGACTCACTTGAACATTCAATAATGTTAAAATGTTTTATTTGAGACATTATGTGATAAGGTGTAAAGGAAGTAAACGAAGAAAATTTACATACGAGGGTCAAACATCGAGTGCTCTATGAGCTAAGTGTCAACAATGTAACGTCACACATTGAAATAAGAAGCATATGAACAACGTCACTGATATTTTACGTCCGGAGCAGAATAAGGGTGTTTGACTTAGATCTACAAAATACTAAAGGCGGAAAACGACATTATGTAACAAGACCTGCAGTCGACCAAAATTGGTTAAACATACCTGCCGTTAGTCCTCCCAGGAATTAAAATTTTGTTCGACGACTTATGCATGGTATTACATATATTATACGTTTGTCAACTAGGCGTTTTTGATTCACTCTTTTTTCAGCACATCATTTGACTACGGAGTTATTCTTTTGTGAACCACCTTTTATAGTTTTGCTATGTAATAAGGCAGAACACTTGCTCCATTATATTATCCCTTTTATACTACTTTTTGCAGCCAAGTTAAACTATGACGACCCATAGAATAAGAACGCACGGGCGATTTGGAGCCAACGAATCAGGAAGTACTGTGGTTTTTGCATTAGAATGACGTTTATTTACACGCGAAATACATAAAAACACACTAAACAAGATAATTTTCCCTGACATGACTCAAAAATTGATACTCATAATAATTTGGAGGTATTTTTAAGTCAGACCGATTTCTGTGCATGTATTCACAAAGGTGACTGAAGATAAGTTCTTGTCGAATCCTGTGTTTCAGTTTTCCTCAAAAGACCTCGAGCAAGAGGATCGACAACCATTTAGTTAGAAAATGAGGATGATAAAAATAAATAATACCGACCCCAAAACTAATCCTAATCGCAACCTTAAATTTAATTTAAACCCTAACCCTAGTCACAACCCCGATTTTGACCCTAGTCTTGATCCTAACCTTGATCGTGACCATGACCCAAACCAGGCATTAACACATAGTCGAGACAGTACTTCAAGACGAGACGGGATAAATTTGCAGCTAGATTCGTGCACAGCGTTTATAGTGACACTATAGCAACAGTAGGTCTGGTTATCCAACGAAGAGTATGCGTCCAAGATCATTGGAGCGCTAGCCAACTTGGACCGTTATACATTAACTTGGCCTTTTTGGCATCACTATTTAACCATTTTACTATTCATGCGCCATCAGGGGGTGAATCATACTGCAATGCTATGTTCATTGTAGATGTGTTCACCAACTTGTAAACTGCGAGTTAAAACTTTACTGTGAATGATACCAGTATATTGCCAAAACGAGAAACATTTTGGCGTCAAACGTAAATTGTTCTTTTGTCTAGTCAGTGATATACCTAATATTGTTATACATTCTCTGCAACTAAGTGCTCAAAAATTGCTGTCCAGATGACAGCTACTTTTGACTTATAATGAACATACGACCAACTTTGAAAAACTCACCTTTCACTGATATACCGGCAACATATATTTCGGACACTATTAAGTTGCAGAAAATTAGCCCCAATCAAAATAGACTGAACATTACGTGGTGTGATTTGCACCACACCAGTGTAGGCATAACTAATAAATGCTTCTAAAGCACTGGGCAAAAATTAGCAATTTTTAAAATTACCATGCATCTATCCCATGGATGGATACTTCACTCTTAACAGATTCTGACATATTGCTTAGGAACATTCCATTGAAAAATGGAATAGTAGCAGCTAAAACGACTTTGTGAGCAGTGAATCTATCGCCATCAGCCTAGAACACAATATGAATTTTCCAAAACTCACAATCAAAGTAATATCACATAGTTTGCCATCTCTTCTCATACAGTCGAGGCCAGAAAAGCCTGTCTTGTAAATTTCTCGATCTTGGAAGTTGAGGGTATTAGGCAGATGAGCCTAGAGCAAAGAACAATATGAAGAAGTCACAAACTGACTCTCCAACACCATTCCAGCTGATGTAACGCATAGAAACAGATAAGCCTCTCGATACAATGTTTCAATGCTCTAAATCATGTGACTGCATATAAAACAGCATTCAGTGTCCTAATATTTATTTATTTATTTGTTTATCAATGGCAGTTTCTCGATTCCTCATTGAACATAACTTGTTTGAACTTCAATATAAGCTATCAAACACAGAAATCAGTGGGACCTAACCACCTTCACACAAAGCTTCATAGGGCTCTGATAATTCATATAATCATCCTAGTTAATACGGCCTTTGAATTTTATCTCTCACATATGTGTCACCGCGTGAATGAAAGAGTCATAGTAACCCCAACCCCCAAAGGAGTATCTAGACATGATCCTTAAAGCTGCAGGCCGGTCAGTCAAAATAATGGAAATAATAATCATCCAGAGCATATATATGATGGGTTCTCGAACTATACATAGCGAAGTGCTCAGTCATGCTTAGCGCATACACAAATGTTGGCTGGCATTATGTAGAGCGAATGCCATTTCCGTAAGCTAAGATGCACTTGGATCTAGGTGTCACAGTAAACCACGTCATAAAAGTAACTGCCCATTGCCACCCAGGATACTTAATTGCTCTATTATCAACCCATCTTGGCATTCACTTTACTTATTAATTAAGTTCAACAAACTGTTGGAGGTGTGTAAGTAACAAACGCTCAAAACACAAATCAAATAACTACCTGAGATTTGAAGGGATACAAGAAGTTCAGCAAGGATATTTAAACAACTGATACATGTAGTCTGCCTCCAAATGCTTTGCACTCCAAGAGCCACCGACTCAAGAAGTATGAGTTATGTGTCCAGTAGAATCTCATCCATTTCGTGCAATTAAATTGAGTCTAACCATGTTTGGTTCCTTTTTCGTTTGCTTATTTTGTCATTCGCGTCGGTGGCACAGCGGTTAGGACGCTAGCCGACCATGTACATTATCCGGGATTCGACCCCCTGCCAATGCACACCTGATATCCATGGTCGGTCGGCAAAATTTAGGCTGCCGATATCACATGCTGAAAATTCCATACCTGTACCAAAAATACTCTGTGGAATCAAGCTATAATCAAAATATGCCCTCCTATCTTCATTACAAAATATTTTTTCATTTTCTTTCTGTGCCAATACTGATTACAGTTATTCCCGGTGATGGCAACTTTGCATATTATGAAGCAACATTTTTTCCCCTGCTCATTGTGATTAGTATTCACATGACTTCCCATATGAAAACTTTCTTATCAAGTTGAAAATCATCGTCTCGTATGAATCTTTACTATATCAAAGTAATGATTGTAAGTATGCTAGCCTACCTAAATAATCTGAGGTTGTACAGTTAATGAGAATGAAGTCCCTGGAAATATTTCACTGATTAACCCCTTGTTCTACCTATAATATCCTGAAGGGTACTTTTCATGAACATCTGACGCTCACAGGAAAGGAAACCTGGTTGTCAAATGAATCGAGAGCATAACTTCTCCGTGTCTTACCTATCACTAAACGTTATGCCTTCGGAATGTGAAGAAGATTTGGCTCCTGTTACTTTTTAACTAATCACCTCTACAAAACAGTAATTAGGGATAGAAGCAAAGCATAATTTTGGTGTATAATAATAGATTTTTTATACAAACAGATAGATTCACATGAAAAGCATGCCGGTTTTAAAAGGCGTTTTATGGGCTCCTAGGGTGAACGTGTACTACTTGAACATGGAATTAAGCACCTGATGTCCTTTTAAGGTATTTAAAGAGTGTTTTCACCACAGTCTTTTTATTCGTGACTTGTAATACTGTAATTTAATCACTTGGGTGTTAATTGCAAATATTCTCAATTCCATATTCGTCACACACTTTCGAGCCAGAGGGCCCACCTAACTTATTGGCTGCTGCTCTTAACATCACTCTAACTAGCGAAAGGAGAATACAATACTTGCTGCTGCTGAAAGGCATATATATTGACTATGATTTGAAGAGATTATAGAATCAGATAATCACACCACTTGAACATTATGTTCACCAACATGTGTTCCCATCTGTATGGATAAACAAGTTTAGGTCTAGGTCAGTCGATGAACTTATTTTATCTACTATATGGAGATGTGAATTTATATACTGTCGAAAGAGAAGCGTTGATTACTGCGGAAGATGAAGAATCTATCTTTTTCGAATCTGGCTGAAGGTGAGTTTGCAGCAACATGTGCAAAAATGAAGTTTCCCATTTGATACCACGTACAGTCGAAGGAAATTATCAACTTTATCAGCACCCGTTACATCTAGAGAAGCATCATTGGCCCTATCCTTTTCATGATATATATAAATAGTATTTGCGAACTCTTTAGCATGGATAAATGGTCGCGTATACAATGCTTTGGTAGGAGATATCTTGCTCTACTCTAATGAAACCTGAGCTGAAGATGCGCGGTGGCTCTGCGTATTCGATCATCACTGTCTCCGCAGGACTGCTTGAGTTCGATGGCACCATCGTATGAAGTATTAAAGTCTCGTGGCGTGTGTTTAGACACGGTGGATTTCACCATTCGATAAGTGTCGTCATCTGGAAATAGCGGCTTTGGTGGCTTGGAAGTGTGCTGCGAATGTCATCCAAGAGGCTTCCGTACAGGTCTGTGTTCGCTAGCCCTAGGAAGGGATGGAAAAGGTGGAGAGGTGGTCAGCCCATGATGTGTGGTTGTGGGATGAGGGACATTTGTGTTAGGCTAGCATCGGTTGGTGTGTCACGACTCCCTGGTTGGAGTTCAAGAGACAGCTCGAATCGATGGCTCGAAACGTTATCGGATATGACCGGGAATTACAACCAATGGCGAACGTGCTGTAATTTCCTTCTTTCTTCCCTTACCGACGAATGGTGTTTGAACTTGTTTAGTATGACTGTTTTCCTTCCAGATGAAGTTTTTTATTCTTTCTCTACTTATATGTTCATTTTTAATCCGTGTTGTTTTATTATTTTTGTGCTTAAATAAGATAAAATACATAAAGATTCGAGTTTAATGTTGAAAAGTGTGGCTGGCTCTTCATAGGTTGTTCCAACCTAGAACTTGTCCCAGTAACTCAAGGCCATAAAATTCTCAGACTCAAATCTGTGCTACGCCCTGCATTGAAATATTCATCTGATCTGTCATTTTCAGAGCGTATCTCGAAATAATTGTCGAAGTCACGGAGGTTATTGGCTTTCTACTCAGGAACTCCTACAGAAATGAATTCAGAATACTACTGTACAAGGTTTGTTTGCGCCCACTCCTAGATTACTGCTCATTAGTGTTTAGTGGCACACAACAGAAGACAAACTAAAAGTAGAAGGAGTGCGTAGGTGCTTCATGCTAAAAGTATTTGGAACCGAAAACGGTACAAACTACTCCACCATGTGTGGAATCCTAGGGTCACAATCGATATGGCTAAGATGACTGATACCAAACTTGGTACTTTTAATAAGCTTCTTAACCACATAGTGTATACTCCTGCCAATGTTACTTGATTTTCAGGTAAAAGTTTTACTCCATTGGATGTACTCAGATATGGAACGAATTATCAACGGAAAGGTCGCAAGCAAGCACATCGGCCCCCTTTGGTTAGATACTTAACGACATATTAAGTGTTTGCAAGCGATAATAATGTCGATTCCCATGTAGCAGCTTCAGAAAGCATGGACCCATTTAATGTATGAACTTAGAGACTACACCTGTTGTTTTTTTGTCTCTATTTATTATTTCAGATAAAAAAGCAGCAGTCATGACAAAAGCCCTCAAACAAATAAGAGTCGTTTGTATGATTTCCACCTGATACAATGAGTGAAACAAAACAGACACACGAATGAAATATGAGAAAACAAGGGCAAACATACAACCATGTCACAAGGACAGATGTGAGTTTCTAGGACATTATTTATACTTCACCTGCTGGTCTAATCTCCGAAAAGAATGCGGTGATATTTTATCCATAGTGGCGAGGAATTATATAAATCCACGATTCCCATTTTCACGACTGCAATTCATTAACCTTACTATATCGACTACTTCTCTAAGAAAATATGCTCGCGAAATCGTTCACATAATATCTGACGTTACATGAACGGATATCGTATTTTCCTTGCTCCCATCTCTACAACGCAGTTTGAAACACCAAGAATCAGTAAGGGATGTCCCCTTGCCTTCTAAACTGCCAATGTGCGTTCCTTTATTTCCTCATACTGTTCTCTACATATCAACGAAACCGCTGCTTCTATATCCATCAAGTAAACTAGTTCTCTTCCATTAACTAGTAATGTTCCATACCCGACACTTACCCTGATTAATCTAACAACACTCATATGCAAGCAAGGAAAAGAAGGAGGACTGTACCATTTACATTTTTTCCGCCTTCGTTTCGGGCAATTTTTCTGCCAGTGACCGGTTCTTCCGCAAGCAAAACATCTGTTGTTGTGTCTCTCTCGTATCTGCATAGCCGCCGTCTACTGTTTCAAATCTTCAGTTTGGTCTTCAGTTTTCCTGGGTTCTTCGCACACCGTCTGTAGGACCAATTTTATCTACAGATTTTGTCCACACTCTCAATACTGATGATACACAGTCTGGGCCTTGCTGTAGTTAAAAATTGGGGGACTTAACACAAACTTTGTCTGTTTCTAAAATATAAAGTAAACAATACGATTACACAAATGTAACAACACAAGGGCAACCGTCATTCAAGTGAAGATAAAAGCGTACCGGACAGTAATGACGTGCGGAACATAATGACTGGCAAATTACTTTACATACATATGAAAGACAGAATACAACATTCGTCCATAAGTGGTGGGCATTTACATTAAATTAAACAATAATCACGAGAGACAGGTCAGACATACTGATTGGTGAACTGTCAGATTTCTGTCTGGTAACATTAACAACAGGGTAA